CTCTCCCTCTCTCCCTCTCTCTCTCTCTCCCCCTCTCTCTCCCTCTCTCTCCCTCTCTCTCCCTCCCTCTTCCTCCCTCTCCCTCCCTCTCCCTCCCTCCCCCCCTCTCTCTCTTCTCTCATGACTCGTATCGGATTGTTGCGTGGAACCAAACAGCCGGAGTGTGAATCGTTTTATGACAATAGATTATACATCCAATTACGTAAATTCGAAACTGCGAAATTCTCGCGTTGACACAGATATGCATCTGACGGTCGACGACGCTCTTCCTCAATTCAATTACATTTTCTATACTCTTTATCAAATTAATTGAATCGTACATCAATTACACAAATGAACAAAAATAGAAAAAAGGAGTTTTTTCTCTGAAATTTCCTCTTGCATTTGTCGAGATTAGCTGCTAGATCAATAGGTTCTTTTCGATATCCTACTTTCGATTCTCAATCTCTTAAATTTTTAAATGTTTCTGAATGCGACCAAGAATGGATTCAAATTAAGTAAAGACTAAGCTTATATCGCGGAAAGAGATCAGTGTCGCTTGTGTAACGCGCGCGGTATAATAACTCGCGCTGAGAACGACGCGTTGCACTGCGCCGCGCCGCGCCGCGCCGAGACGACGGCCGTCGCTTTTAACGTTCACCCCTTGGCGCTCTATGGATTTTCCATTAGTTCCAACTTGGGAAGCCGGTTACCTGAAAAACGCTACGCCTACTACGGGCTGCTAGTCAAAGGTAATTTTTCATGATAGATCACGCTCGGCGTGTCGCTCAACAACGGCGAAAGGTAAGCCTGGTGCGCAGCAGAAGATCAAACGTGCCAACAACGTGTCGCCGGCCCTCGCTTGCTCTTGCCGTTGCATCCGCCGACAAGTGACTATCGATCGTCTGCCTCCATCGCCTGCCGTTCTCTAATCGACCATGTCTAAGTTGAAATTTCGTAGAACCTTTGTGACGCGCGATTCACAAGTGTGCGACCAACATTCAACACTCTTGCCCTTTCGACGTAATCGCGTTTCGAGAGACTTCGGATACGCCCCCCGACAGATACTGTCGCTGTCAATTCACGCAAACGTCTCACTGTCGGTCACCATTATAATTAATAACTCGGCGTTATTTCTCGATGAGATTTTATTCGATCGTGTTCTCTTCGATCTCTTCCTTCTGCTTTTCTTTTAAACCATTGATTTCTGATGTTTAACGATTTAGTTAAAAAAAACCTAACGATATATCCACCGCAATAGGTAGATTGAGGAATTATGTAGTAACTGAAAATCGCAAAAAAGGGCGATAAGTTATTACTTACCCGAAGACGCCTACGGCGACGGCGGCTTCGCGCAGCGCTCGTTCTTGGTCCATCTCAACAAGTGCTTCCGGTCTGATTGTAGCAGTGTTCCTTGGTTGACGTTCATTCTGAACAGCTGCAATTTGTTAGTTTGTCGTATTTATATATATACATTAGGGTGATTCAAAAAAACCTTTTTTTTTTTATTTTTTGCGACGCATCCCAAAATATCAAAGCTTACCTAAAAAAAAAATTTTCCTCAAAAGTTGAGCAAAATCGAACAAGTTTTAGAGATCGCTACCAGTAATTTATAATATTTTTTATTAAAAAATCGGTTTTTTTTAATGTTCAAAATTGCATAACTTTTCGAGTTTTAATGATAGAGACATGAAATTTTCAGGGAATCTTTGTCAATTCACGTAGTTTATGAATATCGAGTTAAAAAATTTATTTTTGAAAACAATTTTTTTACGTTTTTTTGTTTATAATAAAAAAATAATCGTCTATAACAAATAAGCGCCAGCGATCTGGGACATGGTTTTGACTTTAAATTACATCTAGGTAATCCAAAATTACATTTCAATAATCAAATGCTTGAACATCGGTGAATTTGTTGCTGAAAATTTGTTTAAACAACAAATTCAAAAAACCACGTTACCAGAAATAACGCATGTCATAATCTTTATTTAGGTGTCTGTATTGCATTCCAACTTTTGTTGTCAAATTTAAGTTGATAGAATAATAAATTATCCAAATGCTACATATTCAATAATTTTTGGTTACAACATCAACTTCTTTTCTGCCTAATACAATAACACCATTCAATTTTACGAATTGCAATGGTTTTTTTACTGCAACTCATATTTGTAAAATGGATAGATTAATAACAATGGTACTTTTTTTGTAATTTGTTATAATAATTTTATTTTCAAAGAACAAATTTTCAAAGTACAATGTACTTATTGTTTTTTGAAAATAAAATTATTATGACAAATGCGGGTTATTGGATTCGTCTTTTCGAAACCTATAAAATATCAAATAATGTTATCTTTATCGGGGGTTTTTATTTGAAAAATTCGACTATTACTCTCTCCATCAAAATTTTATTGGGGATGAGTTCGACTCCATCCTAAAAATTATCCTTTTGAGGGGATCTCTTTATTCTTCATCTAATTTTAAAAACTTTCGACATTGTTAAATATTAAAGGATAAAATTTAAGCCAGTACCTCAAGTTAAATAACATTTTGTTATTTTTAATTACTATATATGTGTGTCTAAATTATTTTAACACAACATTTTATTTTATTGCCATTGGTTTAGTTAAATTAACGACGTATTAAGTAGGAGTAGTGGCGACCTACAGGAATGTTAAAAATGACTTAAATTGAGTATAATTTATTAATTTGACACTACGAATTTAACAGTGGAGGTCGACATAAATATCGCAGATTGGTAACTGATTTGATCAGACATATCAGCAGACTGATATCAACTGCGTCCGCATTCAGCTATGTTCTGCCAGCAGAGTCTGCTAACAGATAACATAATCGGACAGCAGATTGGCAGCAGAAATCGCGCAGAGCCTAAAGTGTTCCAGCAGGATCTACTTGATTTCTGCCGCCAATCTGCTGTATTATGTTAGTAGATTCTGTTATACTTTTGTTGACATTCTGCAGACAAAATTTGTAGCAGATATTCGGCAAGATCTGCTTTTGACAGATTTGGCTACCTGGGTACACAAGCATTTGTGATGGTATTGAAAGATATATAGGCGCATATACACACAAATACCGTGTTAACAATTACTGTGTTAATTTTACGTTATTCGCGCGGAATGTAAAATATATGCCAGCCTTAGAAATTTACTAAACTCACAGAGTAAAACGTTTCTATTGATCGAATACTGTATAAATTGTTGTCACAATTAAAGATGAATTTTTACTTTTATCTTTATCTAGAAGATATACAGAACATTATCAACCTTTATTTACATGTAAATCATCACAGAAAATAATGAAAATTGAGATAACATTGGGGTGCAAAATGCATTCCACGCAAATAATGTAGGATTAAAGATTAAATATTGTTATATAAATTACAAAAATAATGTCTTCCTTAAAAATTAGCGACTCAAAGAACTGAAGAATACATTTTTTCCTAACGCGAGCGTGAAATGGGCCGCTTTTCGCGCTTGTTTTAAGTGAGCAAAACGATCCATTTCGCAATGATGACGTAAGCGTTAAAACATGGAGCTATTTTTCAACTAGTGGAGAAATAAAATTGTAAAACAAGCGTGAAAAGCGGCCTGTTTCACGCTCTTGTTAGGAAATAGTTGTTGTGTAACAAGTGCGGGAAGCTGAGAATTGGACACGAGTGCGGAGTTGACGCACGAGTGTTCAATTCTCAACCCGCACGTGTTACACACCCTATTTTATATTACAAAGTGCATGGAAAGTGGCCCATTGCGCACGCGCCATCTGTGCGACGGATGGCCGATTCCGCACGCGCGAGAGATTTCTCATTCGAGGCCGTGCAGGAATGAGATATTCCCGCACGCAGTGCACTACACCATCCATAATGAATATGTATAGCAACATAGCAAGGCGGCGGTAAATTCGATGTTTTTAATTGGCGATCAGCGCGGCAATTGTTTTTGCAGGCGCAACGATCGAAAGTTTTTTCTTAAATTCAGTAATTGCAGATGAATCATCAAGTTGTAACCGGTTATCGCAAGTTTTTGCGATATGTCACGATGCTTTCTTCCGCAGGTCAATTGCGTGTACAAATAACATAGTTGCCATATATTCTGCATTATTTTTACACACATTAAAGGAGGCCAAGACCCGCATTGGGTTGTAGCGCAACTGATGATAATGATGATGATTTTTACACACATTACTTTTACAAATATCGTATTTTTTTTAGTGTCTTATGCAAAATTGTATGCAATTGTGTTTCTGTCGAGCCGGTGCAATTTTTGACGCGATATTTTCAATGTAAGCACCGTTATGCTGTGCAATATTTGGCAAGTTGCAATCGCTATACCTAACAACATTCTCCATATTCAAATATGAACCTATAACGTAACGATGGGGAGGTGATAAATAAAATGAGCGTGGTATTAGCAAACTCATATTTCGTTAGAAACCAAATCGTTTTTCCGACTGATTGATAACGAGAGAAATCAGAGCGCGTTAAAACTCCCGCGACGCGCATTCATCGACCGCTTTTTTTGCCATTTTTTTCATACTTTTTCGGAAAAAAAAACGGAAAAAACCGGCGACCTCGAGCGCAAACACGTTGTAAACGGCGATGCTATCGGCGAACAATAGGAGCATTGTGCCGCTTGTCGAATTCGCGGATGATTGAAATATTATTGAAATATTAATCCAGCGGATTCACGGGGGGACGGAGGGGCGGGGAACGGGCGGGAGTTTGCGGTTGTCTGCCGCCCTCTCGTCAAACTCACGTAACGCCACGTTATGTCACGCCGACGGTCTGCATCTGACACGCGTGAATTCAACAGGGCACGCAGCAAACCGGCGGCGCTTATTGTTTGCGGTACGTAACGCAGTGTACGACCACCCGAGGGTTTCATTTACCGACCATCTATGTGAGAGAACAAAAAAAGAACGCTTCTCGTAATGATGACAATGATAATAATTAATACGTTTTTATTAATAAGTATGCCATGCTCTCTAAAAGTGAAAGAGTGAAACATATCACTAAAAACGAGTGAAATGGAAGTGTAACAAAAGTGAAAATTGAGCCTGTGCATTTCAAGTGTGATTCGCCACTCCATCAAGAAAGAGAAAAATTGCCCTCTATAAGTTGGAATGAAAAGGCACTCTTTTCGAGTGCAGTAGATCAGTGTCCGTAGGAGTGAATTATGTCTCACTCTACAATTTTGGAAAATTTCACTCTGTTAGAGTCATTTATCAGTCGATCTTTAGTGAATCGTGATTCCCTATAGCTTTAGAGTGAGATCGTATCACTCCGGTAGAGTGCCGCTCTAAAAATTTGAGTGAAAAATTCACTCCTACCTTATGAGTCCAGCATTTACTCAAATTAGAATAACAATCCTCTCTTTTGGAGTGACTATCGCAATCACTCTAATATATTAGTGGCAAAACCACTCTATGAAATTTAGAGTGTAAAGGTACGATAACACAAAGAGCAGTCGTACAGAATCCCATTTAACGCTCGTAGTTTTTTCGCATCTTCTATATCATCTACAAAAACACTTACTAGTTTTTCTACATTTACGTTAAAGAAAATTCAAATCGTCCGTGTCACCCTATATGAAAAAAGAATCACATGGGATACCTTGTACCGCGCGTTTCTTTTTTCTGAAATATCCCGTAAATAACTCGTAGAAATAGACGATCGAAATTGAAAGGGTTAACGGCGAGAGCGCCGCCGCACTGCTTTTTATTCACGCGAGCCAATCAAGCGCATTTGCAAGCTCACGCTCGTGCGGTTTGCCGCGGCGCGGCGCGCGCGGCGGGCGCGAACGGTCCTCGCTCTCTTCGTCGCCGCGCCGTAAACACTGCGGTCGTTAGCGACGGTCGCGTGGCCCTCGACGAATCCCCGAAGGGTTAATTGGAGGAAATAAACGTATGCAACGTGCGGCCGACCGCCCGATGCGCACGCGGAGACTCCGACGGCGCCACAACCCTTCGGCCGCCACCCTGGCGTCCCCCCCGGTTCGCGACTTCGCCGGCGGAGATAAGTAAAAAGGACGAAGGACGGAGCCGGAGTGACATCGGCGAAAGGGTGCTCTCCCGTGGCGCGGCGACGATGCAAATGAGAGAAATAATGTGCACGGGGATGTTTTGCGCGTCCTGGTGCGAAAATCCGCGCGAAAAATGTTACAGGGGATAACAATGGAACCACACTGGTGGATATGAGCAAGAGTATTATGCTTTTAATGATTGTTAGCGTAATAATCGACTCTCATAGACCACACTTGATTTGATTGCAAATATTGAACTAAACAATACTGTTTTCTTTTTTTTAATTTAAGATTTACATTGTATACTGAAGCGCACTACTTTCTTATTAATTTATCTACTTTCTTATTAATTTATCTATTATAATATTTACGCCACAATTATTAAGAATAAATTTGAAAGAGCGGCAGTATTGTTTTTCAAATATTCTTGGAAAACAGAATTGCAAGGAGGCCTTATTATCCACTTGCGTTAAGAATTAAGTAAAAATAATTATGCAGAATCCTACACAACAGTGACCAAAGGGGTTGTCAATTAAAAGAGCGAAGAAGAAAAGGGAAGGGATGTACGGAGAGCAGGGCGGCCTCTCGCAGCGAGGTGCATGCAAATTAAACGAAAACAGAGCGTACGGGAGCGTTTATCTTTTCTGGTGCGAGACACGCCGCGAGAGGCGGCAAGGAGAGAAAGAGAGAGAGAGAGAGGGAGAGAAGAAACGGAGGTCCGACGAAGCAAAAGGGACCCCATTAAGCCGCCCAGCAGGCCGCACGCCGGAGGTAAAGTGAGCCGGCACGCTTTTTATTATTACGAAATTACTGCGCGCCCGTTGCTGCGGGGCCGCTGCTAAAAGGGAAGCCGGGAAAAATTGCCGCCCGGCCTGGGCGGCAATGAGTGCCCTAATCGCGCGTCCATTAAAGCACGGCGGACACCACGAGTTTCTCCTTTTCGGCGTTTGTGACAGCGAGTGCGTGTCTTTCACGCGTGGTAATACGGCTCCGTCATAATTATCCCGCGTCAGCCTTCTCGCGTAAATTCGAGGAGCCAATGTGCCAGTTTTGCGACGAGTTGTAAGATTTTTCACTTGTCAGGCATTTACATCATTCGCGACTTCAGTTTCCGTACTCGAATATCTCACTGTGATATTGATTTATATTTTTGCGCGCATATCTTGTTATTTCTGATTACTTCACACATTTTTATGTTCAAATTATTGACACGCTTTATCAGTCATTTGCCGCTTTTTGCGTTTAATAATATTATATTAGGGGCTTAGGGGAGATCGGGCCTAGTTGGTACACTTTTTAAAAAATTTTTTAACACGTAACTAATAAATGGAATACAAGCCGCAAAAGAATTTTCCAATACCCGCATGCTTATACAACACAATAGTTATTTGTGTAACAAGTGAGGTAAGATGAAAATTCCCGGGTGCGGAGTTTACGCACGAGCCGAAGGCACCCGGGCACAAATTTTTTTACACGTAACTAATAAATGGAATACAAGCCGCAA